TTTTGGGGGGGATTTGCCGTGTCAAGGATAACTGAGAATCTTCACCAGCATTGTTACAGGTAAAAAAACAATTACTTCACTTATCCTACACTATTGACGTAAAAAAAACACTGTAAGCACTTCACTTTTGATGATCAGATGGAAGCTCAAGACTTGAAAATGTTTCTTTTATTAGAAATAAAGACCTGTACAAAAAAAAACAATTATACACTAATTATATATGCAAACTTAACAAGCTACGTTTGGCTATTTGTGGGCTTACCTTGCAGGATCTACATTTCTATAGATCAACTATGATCTACTCTAAATATTTTTAAACATGTCTGTTTGCCATGGAACGGGCAATGGATTCCAGCACCCCAAGGAGTGCCTGACTGAAAGCAGCACTCTGTTCAGCCTCCTGCCTTCGCTGTGCTGCTTCCTCTCTGCGAACATCTGCTTCCTCTCTCCTCAAGGCCATCTCCTCCCTCCTAATTGCCTTCTCCTGCTTCCTCGCTGCTGCAGCTTGGCGTTGCCTCTCCGCAGCTTCTTCTTGCCTTGCTTTTTTGACATCCTCACAAATAAAATGGAAGTGTTCCTCTCTCTGCTTCCGGTTCATCTCCTCTTGTTCTGTATGTGCAGAAACAAAGCTCTCTGCTGCACTTGTTGATCTGCGCTTTCTATTGCCTAGGAATAACACACAAGAAAATGGCTGTTAGATGATGAAGTACAGGTAGAGTTTTTAAGTTACTGCTAATTTTGAGTTCCTGCTAATTTCAAAAGGTGTTTGTTTACAAGATCAGAAATGATTCTGTTCATAAAGCAGTCTAGTACTTTAATGATAGTAAGCAGGTGGGCATAAATAAACTACACGTAGTCATTTACAACGGTTTGTGCTAATTTAGAAAAAGAACAGAGCATCGTTAATCTGAACAAAAATCACTACACCCTGTATAATTTCAATAATAAACTTCATAAATGAAAGTTTAAGTAATAAATGAATAACTAAATTTAACATTTATCCATTACAACTGAATAAACAAGTAGTTTGAATACATGCAAGGTGTTTTACAACAAAAACAAAACAACATTCATATCGACATGATCAATGTGATGTTAAACACGATTGTTGCTTCTTCTTACCTAGTAATGGGTGCTGTTTGGTGCCGCTCTGCTGCGTGTTGCCCGGTGGCGTAGATGTACTCGGTGGCGTAGATGTACTCGGTGGCGTAGATGTACTCGGTGGCGTAGATGTACTCGGAGCTGGTGTGGTCAGGGAAGGGTCAGAAGCGGGGAGGATTGGACAGTCAAAAGCTGAATCTGGCGAACCTTCATGTTCAGTGGGACTTTCTGCATCAAAATAAGAGTGGAAAAACAGCAACAGAGTACAGTTAGCAATGATGCTAACTAATGACGACGTAACCGCGTCAGCCTCGTTTGTTCAGAGTACTTTCAGAAAACGCAAAGAAACGGTTGCATGAGGAAAAGGAAATATGCTTAAAGTAAATAAAATACACTCACCATCAACTATTAGTTTTTTAAGCTTTCCTCTTTGCTTTGGTGTGCGATGGAAGCCCTGCACCGCCATCTGCGCAGACACCTCTTGAAAAATCTTTTCATTTCGTTTCGTTCCATCTAGCTCGCGCTGCACTTGTTCATCGGCCAGCAAACAGAGAAATGCCTGAACTTCAGTATTCGACCACGGTTGTGCCATGATTATTTGTTTTACCTTATAAAATATTCCAAAATAAGCTCCTCCGATTTCTTGTTGTCTGTTATGCGGGTGAAAAAGAAAATGGTGGATTGTGATTTCCGGTGGAAGACTGAATCTCCGCCCTCCACCAATGAATACGCCCCCTGACCAATCAGTGACCTACAGTGCGCTGATGTCACAACTAGACCCTACAAGAACCAGACCTGGGACCTCAGTGATTTAGGTCCCAAAAATGGGGTGGGTTCCACCACTAGAGGCATTGTTGATAAATCCCGCAATCGGCCACAACTAGTTACATAGGAGTACCAAAAAGACCCGTGGATAAGGGGCTTTTGAGCTCTTTCAAAGTTTCTAGTAGAAATGTTGCGTCGCTCACCGACCAGTTTTGCTTCCCCGACATGCTAATATTATTAGCATTAGCCAAGTGGAAATACATGAGGTAGATATAGGTCGCACATGCGCAGTCAGGTCAGTTTTCCACAATCTGAGAAAAATGAGCAGATTAAGTGTTTACATGCACATTGTTTGGATTATGAATCGGCATAAATCACCCATC